CCCAGGACCTGCACACTTCTGGATTTAATAGGAGAGAACAGCAGGACTTCCCAGTGGGGCTCAGGACAGTGGCCCAGGACCTGCACACTTCTGGATTTAATAGGAGAGAACAGCAGGACCTCCCAGGGGGGCTCAGGACAGTGGCCCAGGACCTGCACACTTCTGGCTTTAATAGGAGAGAACAGAGGGGCCTCCCAGGGGGCTCAGGACAGTGGCCCAGGACCTGCACACTTCTGGCTTTAATAGGAGAGAACAGAGGGGCCTCCCAGGGGGGCTCAGGACAGTGGCCCAGGACCTGCACACTTCTGGATTTAATAGGAGAGAACAGCAGGACCTCCCAGTGGGGCTCAGGACAGTGGCCCAGGACCTGCACACTTCTGGCTTTAATAGGAGAGAACAGAGGGGCCTCCCAGGGGGGCTCAGGACAGTGGCCCAGGACCTGCACACTTCTGGATTTAATAGGAGAGAACAGCAGGACCTCCCAGGGGGGCTCAGGACAGTGGCCCAGGACCTGCACACTTCTGGCTTTCATAGGAGAGAACAGCAGGACCTCCCAGGGGTCTCAGGACAGTCGCCCAGGACCTGCACACTTCTGGCTTTGGTAGCTTTCTCCTTCTAGTTTACAGGAACCCCATAATGTCTTTTCAGGTTTTTTCAGAGTGACATTAAACATCCTTTAAACACCCTGCGCCTCTGTGCTCTGCTGTGTCTACCAGCCCAGCCATCATGCACGAGGGGAGGCCACAAGGCCAGGCCAGGCCTGTCCGGCCCTCCCTCCTGCAGCCTCACCCTGCCTGGGAGGCAGCCCTGCTCCCAAGTCCTCTCCTACATGCAGGCACCCTCCTCCCAGCTGGATGCTGCCTGTGCCTGAACAGGTCACTCTGGGGAGCCCTGGGAAGCAGGTGGCCAAGCAGGGTCTCCCCAGCTGGCCACACCAGGCAGGAAGTGTGCGTGCTGCACAGTCAGCTCTGGAAGCCGTGACAGGACGCAGGCTGGACGCTCCAGCAACAGACGCTATCCGCAGTGTCCCGGAGGCCAGGGCTCCTGGGTAGAGGCAGGGCAGGCCTGGGCCTCTCTCCCTGGCTTGCACTCACGGTCTTCTCCTTGTGTCCACACAGGCTGTCCCCTGTGCCTGTGGGAGTCCTGGTCTCCTCTTCCACAGACACAGTCCTAGGGCCTCAGGCCCACCCTGGTGAGCCCATCCCAGTGTGGCTCATCCTGAGGTCCTGGGTCACAACCTCAGCATGTGGGTGTGGAGGCACCACTCAGCCCACAACCACCCTGCCTCCTCTCTTGCAAATGCGCCGTCCCACCCTGACGTCCCCAGCATCAGCTCCAAGTCCCAAGTCCCACACACCCTCCTCCAGGGCAGGTGCTACCCATTCTAGGGCCACTCAGCCCCCAGGGCGCCCAGGTGCCAAGAGCAGCAGGCAGTGGCACAGGGTGGGGGCGTTTGCAGAGACCAGGGAACACAGCCTGGCATGTGAGGGCAGCCCAGTGGAACACGGAGAGTCCATGGCCAGCCCAGCTCAACTTCCCTCTGAGACATACAGGCAGTGGGGAGGGCGAAGGGGCTCTGCAGAGTCCAGGAGGCAAAGAATTGCCAGGGGCCACTCAGCTTCCCATAGGAGGCCAGCTGTGTCTGTGGATGACACTGTGTCGACATCAGGCTCCCTCCCCAGGAGATGCTGCAGAGGGGCCACTCTGGTCCTGGAAGATGCTGCTGGGCTGCAGCCAACATGGACATTGGGAGACAGAGACCCAGCTGGGGGACTTTCCAGCCCGTGCTTCGGGAGCGAGCGCCCCGTGGGTGCAGGAGCAGGGGCTGCCTGGGTTCCAGACGGGCGTTTAGGGGCCAGGCCTCAAGCTGTTAGAAAGTGTTTATTTGGGTCTTTGCTTCAGTGGGCGAGAGACGTCCTGCCCAGGGTGGGGCTGACCCCACTCGAGGGGCACTGCTGCCATGGGAGCCTCACAGGGACCTGGAGGCCAAGACAGGCGTTGGATTTGCTGCCAATGCCCACTGGCAGTGAGCGGCAGGGAACCTGGGCCAGGCTGGGTGTCTGGACAGCTGTGCAGGCCTCAGGACAGGGTGCCGGGTGCAGGAGGGCAGAACTTGGGGTGCGAGCAGGGGCCCGTCCCAAACAAGGGAGAGCACCCTGCAGCCACCGGGCCCTCCAACACCTGCAGATAAAACCCAGGCCAGAGTGGGTAGGACCAACCCCCCTTGAAGGCGAGCAAGATGGAGACCTCTCAGCTCAGCGCATGCTCCCGCCCTCAGGGCCCTGCAGGCAGGCACCTTGCCCCGCACCCTGGGTAAGGAGCAGGCCTCTGTCTTCTGCTGCTGGGGCCCTTGGGGCCTCCCTGTGTCAGGTGAGACCGTGCAGGCCACGGTCCTGAGAGTGGACAGCCCAGCGAGGCTGAGGAATGGAAGGCCAGGGTCACTCCTTGGCCAAGCCACTGAG